TCTGCTTTCTGCAGATTTGATGGACATTCAGATCCATTGTAGTATCTCAGCAGATGTCATGGTAGTTGTGGGGGAGGGGGCCTCCTTTGGTACTTGCTGAATACATTTCTTCTTAGTTCATTTTCTAGGGCAGGCAGTGTATGCTAAGAATATGCATAAAAGTAAAACATTCTTAAGTCTGTGCAGTGTGTTTTCTCCAGCTATTAGAGACTGAGAAATGGATAATACTCTCATTAATCTACACAAAACCCCCACGCTCTCAAGGGACAGTTATGTAATATGCCGATAAGGCAAACTGAAATTCCCACAGGTGAAACGTTTACAGAAAATGCAGCATAGATGCTGGAGTAGAGCTTTTTTCTTCCCTCAAGGAAGAATGAAAAATGCAGATGTTAGACTGGGAGCTACCATGCAAGCTTTTGTGTGTGTGTTTTATCATCTCTATGATTTGAGAATGTAATTTAATTTCTGCAAGCTTTTCCCTATACATAACAATGGTTGTATTGCCTAACAAATTCAATAGACCTAAAGTGCATTGGACTCCTAAATAAGACTCCTAAATAACTAGCAAATCATTTATCCTAGGTTGCTTTAAAAAAACAAACACCCCAGAGATAATTTGATTACATTGCTGAAAGGGTGAAATAATACAAAGAGCATTTTTATCAACAAATTTGCATTCTTTCTAGGTATGGCGATATGAGAAGACAAATTGGCTTTGAGATCCGTGACATGTGGTATAACCTGGGTAAGTAAGATCCCCACTATCTGATCCTTGAATAATCAGCACATCCTGATTAGCTGAATTTACTGCATTTTTGCAGCATTGGCGCTGTGCTTATAAGGTTTGTACAAAGTTCTGGTTGCACAAATATTTTGGCAGTATCTAACTCACACATTTAATTAAGTTTATTTATTGCAGCAGCTACTCAGGGCCATTTCTTGCATGGCAGCTGTTATGTTGAAGAAGTGGCTGCCACCAGCATGCACAGTTTCCCCCCATGATTCTTGTTATGACTGATGCACAAAGGCAGTTCCCAGCAGTTTCTCACGTGACAGCCACGGTATAAGGATTGGTCCTCACTAGTTTGAACTCTTCTTTGAATGCATTCTATCCAGTTTAAGATTAATTTTCTGGAAGAACCCTCCTCTTAATCAGTTCCTAGGATGGACAAAGCTTTGTTAAGCAAGCAAGTTGCATAAGTGTTGCATTGAATTTCTATGTTAGTTGTTTTGTTGCTGTCATAGCATAAGTGAAATTTTCTCACACAGTCCTTTGAGATGTGTAGGTAATGATACTCTAATGGTTTTCAATAATCAACAGGCACACAGATTAATACCAAGGTTCTCTGGAAGAAATACAGTGGTACCTTGGGTTGCATACCCTTCAGGTTACATATGCTTCAGGTTACAGACCCCGCTAACCCAGAAATAGTACCTCAGGTTAAGAACTTTGCTTCAGGATAAGAACAGAAATTGTGCTCTGGCGGCGCGGCAGCAGCAGGAGGCCACATTAGCTAAAGTGGTGCTTCAGGTTAAGAACAGTTTCAGGTTAAGAACGGACCTCCGGAACGAATTAAGTACTTAACCCGAGGTACCACTGTACTTTTAAAGCCTTCTTCCCATTGGCATTAGAAATATTGAGTGACCATACCATCCAAAAAAAGAGCGTTCTAGATGTATTTTAGAAAGTGCATAGGTAATATGGAGAGGCAGCATTCTCAATGATTTCACAGATTTTGGCATAAAAGCTCTGTAATTACTAAATTATCTGTAATCACCAATAAGAAAAATTCTCCTTATAACAATATTTCCATTGATATGGACACTATACCTCTTTTGATGTTTAGCCATGTCTTTGCTCTGAGTGAATTCTATAGGATTTACTATAATATAAATTATGACAGCTGAATCACTTAAGTAGCTGCAAGTTTTTGATAATATTGTAAAGCTGCCAATATTACTTACTTTTCACCTGAACGTTGGCTAACTTACTCTTGCTATATTCTTAAATGACTCTGATGCAGAAAAAAAGAAAGCAGCAACCTTATGTATAATCAGCCAGAATTGTAGAGTGTTTAATACGAAACAATGAAGCAGTCAAACTTGGATATATCTTCTGATTATTACATGAGTTTGTGATGAAAGAGAGAATTCACATTCATCTTTCTGTGATTTGGAAGTGCACTCTGTTTGAACTATGGCGTTATGTAGGGAAGGAAAATAAGACTTTAGTAATGCTTTCTGGGGAATAGCTCAGTTCTGTTTTTATTAAGAAAGACTTAAGTGCATTAGTGAGTAGAGACCAGGATAAATCAAAATACATAATAATATACAAGTGACAGACATATACCCGGAATGTCTCATTTTAAAAGAGTAAACTAAGCTCAGCTCTTCCAGTCAATTACTACCAAAAATCTACTTTTGAGTGTTCCATTGCACACACATCCTGATTCAAGATAGAGTACTTGGACCTAAGTCCTTTTGATATCACATGTTGAGCCATTAAAAGGACTGGCTTCATGTGAGCAAAGGAAGACATGGAACTCAGGCTGCTGAGTAACTTGTTTCTCCAAGAATGCCTGGTGTATTTCAACTCCATACAATGAACCCACATCTTTCAACTCACCACTCCCACCCTCATGTTTTCTTCTACCCAGGCATGGCCAGGCAAAGCCACTGAAAAAGCCAACAGCGTTGGCTTTAGTATACAGATACGGTTTAAATCCTGGTGTCTTGTCCTTTACAGTGGTACCCCAGGTTACATATGCTTCAGGTTACATATGCTTCAGGTTAGACTCCACTAACCCAGAAATATTACCTCGGGTTAAGAACTTTGCTTGAGGATGAGAACAGAAATCGTGCTCCGGCAGCGCGGCGGCCCCATTAGCTAAAGTGGTGCTTCAGGTTAAGAACAGTTTCAAGTTAAGAACAGACCTCCGGAACAAATATGTACTTAACCTGAGGTACCACTGTATTCTCAAACTATCTGGTTTTCATTATTCTGATTGCAATTTTTTTAAAAAAAAAATCAGTGCAGACTGCCACAATAATCAAGCTGCTGACTTTAGGAATTTCGCAGTTGCCATCAAATGGTCTCAGAGCAGGTGGGAGGCCCTGCTGACCATGACAAATCAAGCAGCAACTGCAGCAGGGAAATGACATGGTTGCTACCTTACACATGCTGAAATATGCTGCTTCTGAAGAGCCCTGAGGCAGTAGGCACAGGCTGATGGCACCATCTCCTCTTTTTTTATTCTGTAATTTGGGGGTAGGTGGATTTCTTGCCCCCAACCTAAGATGAGACCGTCTCAGCACTAAAATGGCCTTTTTTCTCTGATAATAAGGGAAGGATTATAAATAAGAGAGCAAGAAAAGTATTTTTTTTAAAAATATATCCTTACATACATGGTTTAAAAAATGTCAAAAGTGTATTCCAGGTTGCAGGTTGGGATTCAAAAGTTGATGGTAGTTGATCCAAATGACCTACATGTTACTGGGAAAGAGTGTTATGGTTAAGATTTATACAAACATTAGTAAACTGTTTGTTTATCAGAAAAACGAGGAGGGAAATGCAGTTTTAAAAAATAGAGTTAAAAATGTTACCAACAAAATCTAGGAATTGCCAAGGTTGTTGCTAAAAAGCAAAACTTTAGGATCAAGTAAAACTATAATTTCTTCAATACAAATCTGTGTAATTGAATCTTCCATACTCTGATAACTGGTATTTTGAAATCCACCTGTCTCTGTTAAGCAGAGAAAGACCTTCTAAGATCATGGCCAGTCCACAAAAAATGATGCTTCATACTCATAGTTTATCCATCCGCTTGCTTGCTCAACAGCCTTGCATTGAGATGATGCAGTGATAATGCTGAAATAACAGAATGAATTAGTATTATTTTTTTTTACAAATGATACATTAGAGTTGAATTCCTAATATAATACCAAATAAGACATTAGTCATGTGAAATAAATTGTTACCATGGTAATACCTAATTTACAACACATGAATAAATTCATAAAATCATAATAAAATGGCATGTTGACCATTTCAATCAGTTTGTTGTGGGGAACAATCCATATAGGTTCTGTTTATAAGAAGTACAGTAAGTATATAAATAGTATTAAAGTACTGGAGAAGTTTCCCTGAAAAATCTTTAGGAGTCCTGGCTGCCACAGAATCTCAGTCTCAGGGAATTATTTTCTTTGTTAATTAATATCTGCGCTAATTCTCTTTCTACTGACTCAGATGTGATCAGGAGTTAATAACTGTCACTTTGCTTCTTTAGCCCAGTCACCATAATCACCTCACATGCTGATGCCTGTGCTGGGATAGACTCATCTTTTGTTGGAGGAAAGACCTCTAGCTACCATCATCCTTTAAATATCTGCCAAAAGCACCCCACAGATAAACAGGTTTCAATTATTTTTTGGCATGGGACTCCATTCCTTCAAAGTGGTTGAATAGCTTCACTGAAATAGTTTGAACAATAGTACTGTGATTGAGGGACACGGGTGGCGCTGTGGTCTAAACCACTGAGCCTCTTGGGCTTGCCGATCAGGTCAGCGGTTCAAATCCCCACGACGGGGTGAGCTCCCGTTGCTTGGTCCCTGCTCCTGCCAACCTAGCAGTTCAAAAGCACATCAAAGTGCAAGTAGATAAATAGGTACCGCTCCAGCGGGAAGGTAAACGGTGTTTCCGTGCGCTTCTCTAGTTTCGGTGTTCCATTGCACCAGAAGCGGCTTAGTCATGCTGGCCACATGACTCGGAAAAACTGTCTGCAGACAAACGCCAGCTCCCTCAGCCTATAAAGTGAGATGAGCACCACAACCCCAGAGTCATCTGCGACTGGACTTAACTGTCAGGGGTCCTTTACCTTTACCTTTACTCTGATTGCCTTGTCCTTCTGCATTTAGTGACCAGGGTTCAAAGTAGCCCTGTCACACAGTTCAGTAGGTTTCAGAGGATGAGCTAGTAGGGGTTTTTTGTTTTGTTTTTTAAGCCAGGCAGGGCCCGCGGGTCTCAAACCGCTGAAAGCAATACGTTGGTCGATGGAGCCGCTGAGCTGAGCTGGCTCGCCAGTAGGGTATTTCATGTCATTCTCTCTCCCTCTTCCTGCTGACACTGTGCCAGTTGATCCTGCAGGTAGGATATGTCAAATCTCAGTTGGCGTCTTTTCTCCCTAATCACTTCATTTTCCTCATTCATGGTAAGAAAAGATTCATTTGCCAGAACAGCATGGACTCTGTAAATTTCCTTCTACTCCTTCAGCCCAGCATTTTGCTCGCATAATCTCTGTAATTCGCTGTTAATACCATTGCCATCTCTTAAAATGCAGTTTATTCCCATCATAATTCCCTGGTGAAAGACATGCTTGTCTTATTGGCATGCATTGCTGATTTTAATTTTTATTTTTAATATCTAAAACTATTTTTCCAAGAATGTTTTCTCTGGCTTCCCAACAGCGGCTTCTATAGAAAACCAAGATTCCCCCCCCCCCCTTTTTTTGCCTTCATAACATCACTCATGGATTCTTCATAACCATAATACATCATCGTCTCTATTCCTAATTGCACTTCTGGATTCAAGTCACAACTTTCATTTTGCCATCCCCTTCTCCCAAAGCTGTCTGAGATTCCAGTTAACACACCAGACGCACTGGTCTTTTTATTTTGGGTAACAGCGTTAAGAGGGCTCGTCTCCAAGTCATTTCTGTGGCAATGACAGTGTTAGAGTCTTTAACAAATCCTGGAAAATATGTACTTTAACCCAAAACATTCAATAAAAAAAATACGCTAAGTATTGCCATTTTATCTAGGCCTACTGTGCCTGGGTGCTGTTGTACTATTTGTAAATAGTAGGTTAACAGAAGCATGCTGGGGGGGGGGGGCACACATAAGGTTCAGAGCAGCCTATAAGAAAGTGCATATTACGGCTGGGCTGCAGAAAAATCTGCTCCCATTTTTGCAGGTGGGTCAGTGGACTGTGAATGTGAGATCAGTTGTTTTATTAGTACCAAGCTGCTGGAAAAGTTGAGCTCAGTTGAGTGTTGATTGTATTCCCCCCTGCCCTGGATTTTAGGCCCATTTCATTAAAAGGTGATGCCTACTTACTGTATTGTGGCATCATGATATAGATCAAGTGCACATGCTCAAGGTTCTGAAGATGCATCATTTTGAGTTATTGCTAGGGACTGATGACAGTGTAAGGGGGAGTGTTTTTTTCTGAATAGTGAGAATACTTGAATACTAACATCTGGGGAGGGGGAATTGTGCACCTTAGTGGGCTGTGGGTGTGAAAAGTATCCAAGAAAGCAGTGTTAATCTGTTCAAATTTACTTTATTGCAGTTATATCCCACTTCTTGTCCAATGAGTTCAAGGCAGCATACATTGCGTCTCACACATTATGTCTAGCTTTGTAACGATAACCCTATGAAGCAGCTTAGGCTGAGACATAGTGACTAGTCCAAGGTCAGTCTTAATATAGATTTGAATCTTTATCCCTAGTCCTAGTCCACTTTTCTAACTGCTGTACCACACTGTCCCAGAGGCAACAATAACACTGTACTGGCATTGGGGTTAGAGACACTCAAAATTCATAGGAGCTGGGAAAATACATCAGTTGTAATAGAAAATTATTTCATTTTAATGTACAAATTAAATCTGGTATCCTGCATGCAGTTAACACACACAAAAGCCCATTGATTTGCACAGGTAATTAATTGCAGGATTGCAGTCTGTGAATTTAAATTACCATGCTTTTATTCGCGTAGGGAAGGCACAGCATACTAATGATAATATGAATTTAAAAGCATCTGTTTTCCAGCAGAGTAAGAGTAAATTATAAACTGATAAAACCAGGCACCAAGAAAAACACAGCAGATCTTAGTTTATGAGCTCAATCACATTGGCTTCAGAAATACTCAAGTTACACGCAGTCACGTACGGGCACTTAGTTCCCACTGACAACAAGGGGAATCCAAATTACTCATCTAATTGCAGAATTTAGTTTGCTGGATAAAAGGCAAGGAAGTGAGTTGGGGGAAGAGCTAGCAGCTAGCAGCAGTTCTGCTTAGCTGATCGCAGCTTCGGGGAGCTCATGAACAGGACTCGTAAACAGGGGCATTTGTGGGAGATGCCCTGAGGAGCATTGCACACTCTGCATAGAACCAAGAGACATGGAGGGTGACCTGCAGCACTTGTGCCATGTTTGTCTTCCAGCCTGAGAATGTGCAAAACTACATAGGCATGGGTCTGAGCGTGTGCCTAGAAAGCAGGGGTCTGAGCTGTTTTCTGTTTGCTCAGTCACTTTTCCGGCTCTTTAGCACTGAAATTGAAGCAAACGTCAATCTGCAGAAACCCTGATTTCTCCAATTCAGCATTAAAGATAGCGTTTCCCTTGGGTTGAGTGGCAGGGCAGGGCAAGCGGAAATCTGGATGAGCCCTAAGTTCGTTTTCATCGTTTTTTAATTTGTATACCGTCTTTCTATCTTACAATACTCAAGGCGGTTTACAAGCTGAAGAATCAAAAAATGTACAATCTAATGCAATACAAAAATGTGATAATAAAACTTTAAAATAGGCAACCTACATCAAAAAGTAACATTCAACAATCATTAGAATAGTATTAAATAATAATAACATATAAAAGTTAAACAGAAATCCACTCAACAATTACAATAAATAATTTCTAAGCTATAATCAATGAAACAACGGCAAGCCACAGTACATAAAATAATACAATACAAATTGAGAAGCAGAGACTAGAGGGTCGGGCAAGGCAGGTGGAAGGAGGCCTTGCCTGATGAAGTCTCTCCCCTCACAGTTCTTCCTCCAGGACCTGCTCCCTTATGAGGACTTCCATGGTCGGAGGGTGGGGCAAGGCTTGGAAGAAAACTTAATTGGCTACCACCCAATGTTCTTATATCCCAGTGCAAGGATTGGTGGCTGCCAGGGTACTACTACCTCTTAAGGAAAGTTGCAAGGGATGTGAAGAGGCACTACTTCAGCTTGAAACCAAGCTCTTTAGCATCATTGGATGACTTTGGATTGCATCCTCTGCCTTCTCCAACCAGAACCCCAAAGGGAGGTGATCCTTCACGCCAGTCTTGGTTGAGAAAGATTTACGTAGCCTGAAGATAATTGGTTAAGGGAAGGGGGATGAAAGGCCCTGAGTTTCCAGCTGAATGTGATTGAGAATCTGCAGGGTATCTTAGATATCAGATATGCTGCATAGCTGATTTGTGGAACGATATGTTTATCATCCAAAACTGTGGGGCTGCTGACTCCGCAGTTCTCATAAGCTTTTCTACTTGTTTTTCCTCCAATCCACCACTGCAGAATAAAGTAAATTCTGGGGAAAGCTGCCATCAAACACTGCAGCTGAACTGATAAGCTAAATGGCCTTCAGGCAGCAGAGGAAGGAAGATTTGCAGTGTGATTATACACATTGTAATATTTTCTAATTGCTCTTTCTTTCTTTCTTTCTTTCTTTCTTTCTTTCTCCACACGGTACACATTTTTCTCAAGCACTACTTTCCTAGGGAGCCACCTCCTCCTGCATTGATTTAAGATTTCTGCCAGTTAGACCTACGTGGAAGGATTTAATAGGAGGTACCGTACAAGTGACAAAAAAGGGGATGAAGTACTTTACTGCTGATTTCCCCTGATTTCTTCTGATGCCCACAAAATTCTAATTTTGAGATGAATTAGACGTTAGAACATGTACAAGGAGAACAAGTGAAGAGCTCATTCACCGCCACACTTTTTAAAATGGGGATGTAAAGCTTTCTTTTATTTTGTGGCGTTCATGATTATTGCCAAGCTCCCTTTCGTTTCCCATTAGAAAGACATTCCCCACTCGCTCCCTGATGTGTCAGTTCCTTGTGGTCATGGGAGCTCCATGCATGCTGATCCCCCTCCCATTTGCTTCGATGGATTGGCCAACACTGTGCATGTGGGTGTGTACCTTGGATTGAATTGCATAGGGAAGCCTTGCTAGTGCTGTCGCTTTGGACCAAGGGCATTCTCTATATTTTAAAAAAATGGTAATCAAAGGTTTAAAATGCGTTGTTAGGGCAATATGCTTCTTTCATGGATTTACTTTGAAACCAGCCATTTTTCTTTCTGTCTTGAAATTCAATCCCTAAACTTGGAGCCTTGTGACAGAACAGGAACTTCATGGCATTGATGGTCTCCCTGACAAATAACATTGTGTCACTATAATTCATTTTCTGATCTATTTGCTCTGACAGTTTTCAGGTATAGTACAAAAGAACTGTCACCTGGAAGACTGAATGGTAGTAATAATGAAATAGAAATAAATCTTTATACTGTTTTCATGTTTTTAAAAAAGGTTTTCCTGGCTTACTGCTGAATATTCTGCTTAAGAGTATGCTCAACTATAATAGCACTATTACATATTTTTTTGTAATATGTAGACTTTTATTTCTTTTTGGAGCTGTGTCCTGTTCAAGGGTATCTATGAACAGCTAATACAGTTGTTAGAAGCAAAGTGCACATCTATCATGGACTGCCTGGATGCAGAAGAGTGGTGGGAGGCAACAGCCAGGGAACTCCCTAGTGAACCCTCAGGCAAAAAAGGCCTTAGAGCTAGCACAGCGGTGGTGGGATGACAACAAATGGCTAGAGGGAGAAAACTAAGGGGAAGGTGTCAGAATCTGGATGGGCAACAGGGTTTAGTGAGCAGGAAGAGTTTGTGGCAGAGTGTAGTTCAGACTCTGAGGCTGAAGTAGAGGACGGTCAAGAGGCTGGTGAAGAATTCAGGGAGTCTCCCCCTCTTGCTGCAACCAGCTCCCCTCCCCCGGTCTCCAAGAACACACACACACAAATGAAAAGAGCAGAACAGATGCAGTTTGAAACTGCATGGGGGGAAACCTTGGAGAGAAGGAGCCTTAGAGAGGGGTGGGAAGGTGGGGACCTTCAGTCCCCACAAGTGTGTAACTGGGACAAAACCTACCAGGAAGGGTTGCTGAGACCATTAGGCCTGAGCTGTATCCCCCCCCCCTTGAATAAAGAGTTAACTTCACTGGCATTGGTGACTTACTACTTTAGTGC